TAACTGATTACTTAGTTTATCTACTAGTATTTTGTACGTAGCTGTCTGACGATTTACTATTTTGTTATTCCACTAACGGAATCAGCTAAGAAAACATGAACGGAAGGTCCAAGTTCTTTGGACAGTCACCAAAATCCCATGGTAGCATTATTTTCCAAAATACAAAAGGTTGACTCCCAGCGTGATGGCAACATTAGACAGGACTTAAACCTACAGAAACCATAGCTTCTCATTTTTCTAAAATAGCCAGCCTCAGCTGGCCTGTTATGTCCCCTCCCCCGTTTCTATATTAAAGTTTTTCCATGTGAATGACTTGGGGAACATAAAAAGAGCTGCAGAAGCAGGGCACAACTGATAACGCACAACCTCCCAAGATGAAGAGCAACGCACTTGGGGAACACAGAGAGGTAGAGGAGAGAGGCCAGGAATGAAGTATGCTTTACAATTACTGCTTCCACACAGAATTCCTCGGAGATCAACAGTGCAGGAATCACATTCATTTCAATGGGATTTATTTATTTTAGAAAGTTACGAAAAGGAACTGCTGCACATCACACAGGCATAGTAATAACTTCACTCTACTATACTGGCCTTGGTCGTTTGGATCACTGTGAAGGATATTTTTTACTACAAAAGAAATCAAGCTTTGGAAGTGGCTGGAAGGGCCTCCAAATTTATAAGGAGATGTGTTGTACTTTGTCTAGCACTGACACCTTTAAAACAGAAAAAGCAAATACTCTGCAAGTTCAGATATGAACGCAGTTACAAAGTTTCAATGACAAATTAATGTACTGGGAGAAGAAAACATTCTGGCAAAGCACTGATCCAGCAAAGTATTTGCATAACTTCAAGCATATGACTAGTCTCACAGCAATAAGAGGGGGAAGGTTTGAAGGTAAAAATATGCCCATGTGAACACGTTCTTCTAGTTTGAGGTTACATGTTCAGAGTCATCAGCTAATTGCCTTTACAAATCATAACCCTTTCCAAATTTAAATAACATTCCAGATAACCCTTTCAAGTTGCTTGCGAATATAAAAGCATCCCCTACCTTAAACTATTACAGATCTAGAGAATCGAATCTGGAAAGGATTTCAGAGTTTGTTCTTATTTTTAGATTTATATGTGGTTATTTGTACTATGCCTTATTTCAGAAAGTATGCGACTACAAACAATCATTTTGGCAAGCAATGGCACAGAATCATAAAAAAAACAGGGTTGAAGGGATCTCAGAAAGACACCTACAGCGATATTTCTCAACCTCTTTAAGTCCAAAGATCCCCTAAACCTTTCTGAAAGACATTCAGAGGCCATCTTGAGCAGCGCAGCCACAACTCATTTGTGCCAAACTCAAAATCAGGCCTAACTGAACATCTGTAATAATTTTTTTCTCTGCTTTGCTTCTTGACAGGTTGATTTTTGTTGCTGTCCAGCTGAAACTTCTGGCAACTTTTTCTGATGTCCCATGGTTCACTGATTGAGATACACAGATTCAGACCATCTTCCTGCCTGACATGGGTTCAACTATATCTTACTGATAAATATCTAACCTGTTTTTAAAAACCTCCAATGGTGGTGATGCCACAATTTCTCCAACTAATCAATTCTAGATGTTGAACTATCTTGACTTTCGGAAAGATCTTCCTAATGCCAGCTTAAAACTTACAGCAATATACAGCTGTTATGGTTTGTCCTAATCACCACGAATCACCAACAGAATTTACCCCAACAAACTTTTTTAATGCACTGGAAGACTTTTTAATGACTCTTCTCAGTCTTCTCCTTCCAAAGGCTCACTCCCTTCCCATCTGCCCTCACTGGACATGTTTTCTAAACCTCCAGTCATTTCTTCCGCTCTCCTTTGAAGTCTCTCCAACTGTCCATGCTCTTCATGAAGTACAGTGCCAGAACCTGGGCCTTACTAGGACTGAGAGAGTTCCCCCTTCCTGTGGGCTGTTCTTTTCTTCATAAATCCCAGTACAATGACTGTCTTTTTAGCAATAGTATGACATTGTTAACTCCTGTTCCTTTTCTACAGAACTGTTACCTAGTCAGTTCTTCCTGATTTCATATTTGTGCAGATGTCTGTTGAATAGTTGCACTTTTATTTTCTAGATCATTTCTCCAATTTGAATCAATGTTTTGAATCTTGATCTTGTCCTTCGAGGTATTCGCAGGCTCTACCAAGTCTGTCGTTATTATTCCAGTAACTGCATGATACATGAAAATACAAAACAACAGTAGGCCAAGAACAGGTCCCTGAGAAACCTAATTCAATATATCCTTTCCTTTTGACCGTGAACTACTCTCAAAGTACTATTTTCCAACTGTCTGATATCCACTTCATCTAGATAAGTCCTGCATTACACAACAAAAATCATTCAATTTTTAAATAGATAATCCAAAAACACCAATTTTGGACTGCCTTCCTCCCTAAACTCATCAGTTAAACTTCTGCTCTGAGACGGTACTGGCAATTGTTAACTCTTAGGAACGGAGGGAGAAAGGCCTCTGGGCCAGAGATTTGGAAAAAGAGGAGGCTGAAACTGCCCAGAAGTGAAAACCACCGGGCCCCGAGGTTTCCCATGAATCTGGAGACGTATGAGCTGAAATTAACCAAGAGGAGGGGCAATAAAGCTTGGCAGGCAAAAATATCTGTTCATTTTAACCATCAATATTCAATAAAAATAAATGCCAAATTCTAAAAGTCTAGTTATCTATCTGCTGCTTCTTTCTTAGCCACAAGGCCTGTCACAACAGGAAATTAGATTGTTTTGACATAATTTGGTCTCGACAAATCTGTGTTGGCTGTTACAATTGGCATATACAATTTGAGATGTCAAAAGATTTATATCATTGAAAAGGTAAGGCCAATAATGGAAGTTCTGATGGGCCTAACAGGAGAGTGTCAAAATAAAGAAATCACTCGAAGGAACTTGGTTCAGCACAGTAAGCAATCAGAAAAAAACACTGCTATTACTTAGCCAGCTTGCTAAAAGAGAACTACTTTTACTTCTACTCTAAATTTATGCACATCGTATGGAGAAAAGCATGAGCTAAATGTATATAACACAACATAAATCTCAGGAGAAAAGAAATTCCTTTCCTTCTAACATTGCTTTCCTTGTGTAGTAAACTTGGTGACTGGCAGTACATTCTCATCCAAATATGCACACATACAAAATTACAGATACATCTCACTCCCCCAATGACTTTGTAACATGTTGCTAGGTAACAGTGCATATAAGTCAGGTTTCAAGACCTTTAGTAAGTCACCATAAAATAACTGCATAGGCCTTTGGCATGAATAATGTACATTTGTATCCTTTTTCTAACGCCAATAGATCAGACATTGAAAACATGACCGTCTGCCAAACTGTAAACAGCTCCCCATCAACTGCTACATGACAAACAACAGATCAAATGTGTGGTTTTTCCAGCTTTCAGGCTTTTTTCCCCTCTCGCTTTCTGCTCCCATTCTTGCTACATGCAGCCATCATGAGCACTATCATCTACAGTTCACTACAGTTGAGCTGTAGAGTCACTCAGTGCACAACATGTACTTAAGCAATACTAATTTAAAATAGACATCAGAACAACAGCATATATGAGACGGCTGTCAGACAACATCAAAAATGGGTTTCATATAGAGTCAAAATGTGAAACTCAATTGAAACAGACTCTCTTGTGCTCCATTTTTTGGTCATAATAATAAATAATATCAACAGATTTTTTTTAAAAAGGGGAGGTTTCGGTGGCTTCTTCTAACCCACACAGGAAAACGTTAATCCCAAATCATTTTACTTCCTGCTCGTCCTCAGGTCTTATTTTTAATTTTTCCTGGTTGGCTCCATGAAGCCTCAACCTTGAATTCTTGCTTTTCCTCATTTGATTCTGTCTCCACAGAACTGTGCTCCCAGAGGCATAAAGGTCTGGACAGCTGAGGACAGCAAGCCTTCCCAAAATGAAGAGCTGAAGTATCACTAGGGTGATTAGAACACAGCTAGTTTACCTGACAATAACATCTACTGAAATGCAACTTACATTACACTGAAGGAAAAAAGTTGACCAATCATTTTTTATTTAAAAGGGTATCTTCTATCTCTGAAGTCCAAAAATTACCATAGGAACTTTGATCTCCTTGCGAAACAGAAGTTTCTTCACTGATTTCTTTCCTGCCTTCTTCCTCTTTAAAGTTAAAGGCCAATTTTAAAAACGTTCAGTATAGAACATGCTCCCTAGCATGTCCCCAGTGCTGAAATATTCAGTCAAATCAGTAAGAGAACATGTAACATATAACAATTCTCCCTAAACAGTTATTCAGATTTTCACATATTCACATGACTCTCACAGCAATAATCTGACAATGAAAAAAAATAAACCCATGGTTTGCACTAGATAGGGATGTCAATCAAAATAGTAAACATCTTCAAAAGTTGTTCATGAATCTCTAAGACTACCAATTTTTTGAATGATAATAGCCATGAAGTCCAGTAACACAGTTTCACACTCAACAAGCATTGAATAGTTTGACCTCACACGCTCTTCTGAAAGGAAAGAGAGCAATGCTTTACTGGTCCTATTTAGCAGATGGGCAAAGACAGACCAGCTAAGGGCTGAATTTTCCAAGATCCTGGGTATCTGTGTCCCTTGGTGATTTTAAACTGAAACTACTGGCATTCAAAAACAAACCAAACAAGACTACAGGCACTCAAAAACACACCAAACAAGACTTGCCAAGATAATTGCCAATGAACATCAAAGCCTGGAAAACAAGTTCTTACTCCCCATCCCAGGTTTCAATAATTAACAATATCCCCATCTTCTCTCAACATTTGCCCTCTTCCCTCCATCATGCACCTCACTCATCAGAAGAAACAAGAAATAACAAGTAAAGTAGTTGCAACTTTTTTCTCCCTGCAATGCCATGATCTGGCAGACCCAGGGTTTCTTAGCTCATAAAAGGAGTAGCTGAAACTACCACTCTGACGCTCCATTACCTGACAGCTTCATGAGAAAATCTGATGCCATCTTGACAGAGATGTCTTGGCTGAATAGTGCTGATGCTGTATTGGCCACAAAGTCAGAGGAGTCCTTCAGCTTTGTGTTGCTGGGGGCTCTGTCAACAGTGCTAAGAGCAAACGGTGCGGCTGAGATGCCATTGTCATCTTTGGGCTCTTCTTTCACTAGTAAAGGTGGAACGCCTCCACTAGCCTGCCCAGCCACATCAGGTGTTTTAGACACAGCTGCTGATCCCGTGAGGTCAGGTCCACCTCCTTCCCTCTGTGGTCCAGGACAGGAATCACTATTTAGCTGTGGTGACCCCTTGACCTCAGTTTCTGGTATTTCCTCCTTCACTTTGGATTCTGTCCTGAGGAAATGCTGATGGCAACGCATGTGGAGTTTCAGGCTGAAGTGGCGGGAGGAGGTAAAAGGGCATAGCTGGCATTGAAAGGTCTCACCCCTGTCTTGGTGCTGATGAACCTGGTTCAAAAGGTGAAAGATAAAAGCCTGTATTAAGCAAAACAGTTTATAAGCATTACAGCTCTATGGACACCATTTTTGAAAAGAAAAGTCAACTAACGAGTCAGCTCCTCATTCTGAGCAGTTGGAAAGAGGTCAGGTACTAAGAACAGTAGGATTCTTTTGCACAGAAGTCAAAGAACATAACCATCAGAATTGACTAAAAAAAAAAAAATAGAAACAGATACATCTCGTTTCTGAGCACGGAAATAAAGAAGTTTGATTTGGGTGAAATAACCCTTATAACCTGGTCATGATGACCTGTCACTGCATAAAAAGACCTCCAAGCTGTAGGTAGCTACTTCCTTGACTGGAGGAAAAAAAACCCAACAAAACAAAACAGAAATCCCTTATCTATTGTAAGTTCTGCTAAGTATGATCTTTCTATGCAATCTCATAAATAACAATCGTTCAGAGCAACCCAGCAAAACCCCAACCTGCATAGTAACATCCATTACCAATTTATGTATCACTAGGGCAAAAACACAGCAGCTGGCAACACCAAAGAGCTATTGAAAGTTTGTTGCAAGTTAATTCTACCAGAAAATTAACAGTTCTGTTATGATAAAACACAAATATGAGAGATGGTTTTTGTCATCTATTCTACTTTATCAGGCAAATAACGAGCAAAGTTAATTTTACTGTTCTCATATTTTGACTGCAAGCTCTTCTTCATACAGACTACGTGCTCCAATATAACTATACAACACCTAGTAACCTCAGGCCTGATCCTGATAACCTTTTAAAGAGAACTCTAGCCATTCGACCATTTGTAATGGTTTACATATCAGCTATTTGAACAGCCACACACATTAATACAAGCTATATACATAAACAACCACATTATAATTATACAATATATTGGTTATCACCATACTGGCAGGTATATTGAAAAGTTTTTCTCTCCTTAGCTTCATCAATACGTTTTAAATCCTGACAGTAGCGCTCAGGACCGTTCCCTGTAGAAAGACTGCCAAATACATACATTTGTTCCTTACTAATTGATAAATACATGATCAGGGCAAACTGGCACCAACTGAACTTGACACACTCATTTTCACTTGTGACTCAAGTTGGTTGGAAACATTTCAGCGAGACAGATTTTTGCTGAAAAATGGCAATTTGTTGAACCCAAAATATTTTACCTGAAACATGCGAGGGTTCAATGAACTCTTGGCAAATCAGGCATGATTCTTCTACCCTGCTGAGTGGCACCCTACACCTCCCTCCCCAGGCTTGGCTCAGAAGCAGCCAGCTGTGCCAGGGTTTCAAGGCTCATCGCCATTGCCTGGAAGTCCAAAAACCCTGAGAGGCCCCAGCTGTAATCACAGCTCAGCTTTACAGCAGGGAGCCTGGAAGGCCTGGCTCTAGTTAAGGCTTTCAGCACCTCCAGGTCTCCTGCAGACCTGAGACCTAGATCCTGGTGCAGATCCTGCTGGCCCTGGGGGTAGCTGTAGCATTTCCCAAACACAACTTTGTCAAATTTCAGGTTGGAGGAAGTTTCACATTTGGCCTCATTCATTCTGTATATAATAAGAGGAATTCGGTCACAAGCTCATATCCAGCATTCCCAGATCTACTTGCGACATACACAGGGCCTGAACTCAGGCCTGCTAAGATATAAAGCTGGGAGATCTTCTTTTAGCCCCTTTTGCATTCAGTGAAAACAGATTTCAGTTGTACTATGTAACAGAATTCTCTTTCAGCAGTTCTTCAAGGGTCCAGAGACTAGGTGCTAAATAAACAGCAAGAGACAATTTCTGTTGGCCAGCAGCTTTACAGAATGACATGCCCTGTATGTATAAACATGACATTTACAGACAAAGTAATTCCGGAATCTTGAAATTGTAACTGACAACAACAACAACAAAAATCAAAAGCTAATGCTAACCTAAGACAGTTTTAATGCAACAACCTTGCACATGAATAGCCACACCATAAATTCTAAGTATTAACACATTACAATGAAAATGCCAATAAGGTTATCTATCCACGCTACTCGAAACAAGATGGTCTGTAGGCACGGCAGCATGTAAGCAATTTTCTTCATGAAGAGCACTGAGGAGTACTAATGGTAGCAAGCCACCTCACCATGGCAACTTTATCTCTTACACCCACTGACGCTCTGTGTGCCAGGGTTTCTCTCCAGGATCTCCACCAGTCAATGTTTCCCTACCTACATATTTAACCACTTCTTCCAGACACCCCATATCACAATCATCAGTAGGCTTCCAAAGGCTGTCATTGCTTCAGTCAAGTAGCAAGGTCTGTGTGGGAGCCCACCTTCTCTTCCCAGGAGCATGGCACACCACCTTTGCAGTATCTTTTGAGAATGAATGAGAATAGGGAGGACTGATTCATCTGATCTGGATTTCTCTCCTGTCCAAAGACAATAGCAATGTCACCAATGGACTTCTCATTAGAAAAGTATGTTTGTAACTTTCAGCCAAAGAATGACAGAATTCAAAAAGAAAGATTCAAAGTTTTAAAAGGCACAATTTTAGACCTACATAAATAATGTATGAAATACCATCAAGTCCAACATTTAACCCCCAACATACTGGCTCTAGTCCCACCATAAGACTATTATTTTTTAATTGTCAAGAATAAATAATAATGCTTACAAATATGAAGACTTTTAGAAATATAAGCTTAGAATTAAAGTCCTTTTAAAGAAAAACATTCTCTTTTTTCTTATTCAACAGCATCTGAAAGAGCCAAGCATCTTCAATCTAGGGTACTCAGAAGGAATAGTCAAGGCAGCAGCTTCTTGCCGTAGAAAAAACAGCAAGAAGCCCTGGCAAGCCATGCAGAGGGCCACACGGCAGATCTAAGCCGCACAAAGTTACGCTTCAGAAAGCTGCCTCCTTCCTCGTTGAGGCAGGGAACAGCCCTCACACCGTGCTAATGCTGCCCAAACTAACGGATGTCCTCTTTAAGAGTCAACTAGGCTTCTACTGCTGGTATAAGGGCTACTGCAAGGATGGAAGGATAACCTTTTGCAAGGACAGCCATAGTACCCTGACTCAGCTCCTATTCCCCCATGACAGCAAGAGCCACACGCAGGAGGAGACAAGTGGGCAGCTGACAGGATTTCCCCGAAATACCCATCAAAGCCCTGATCCTGCTAAATCTGCATCTCTCCGAATTATGCTGCAATAACCTGTTCATAGAGAAAAGTTCTTCCAAAATCCCATAAAACTATTGTTGGCTCACACTGAAAAGCATGAAGAAGTTTTAGCTTCTAAGCCTATTTCATGTAGCTGAGGATATTCTCCTTGACCGTGCAAAGTACTTGCATCATCTTTATTTTATCCTACAGTCTTCCCAGCCTCAAAAGATAATTTTGTGGTTTCTATGTTTTTTTTCCACACATGCCTGATATGAAGTACACAATAAGTTTCAACGGAGCTACACACCACTTACAAACTTCAGCACCAGTTTGAAGATTTGGGGACAAATTATCTATTGGATAAAAAAAATTTTTTTTTTGCTTCTTTCAGTTTTGCTTGCTGCCTCCTCATTCTCACATTACAAAAAAGAAAAAAGAAGCAGTTCAATTTGTCTTCTCTATCACAGACACTATTACGACCACATCTCCTTTCTAGACTTGGCAGTCCCACTCTTTTCAGTTTCCTTCTTCAAAGGGAGTACTTGTCCCACCAATCATTTTCATTATCCTTTTTTTTAAATCCCTCCTAATTCCGATACATCTTTTTGAGGTACAATGACCAGAACCAAATAACATATCCTAGGTGGAAGCACACCATGTATTTATATAATAGTATTGTGATATTTTCAGTGTTATTTTTGTTCCATTCTACAGACATTCAAATATCTACTGTACTTTTTAACCACTGCTGCACATGCCAAGAAAACATTTTCACTGATTTGTCTTCGATGATATCCAGATATCTTCCCAGAGTAGTTAACAGTTCATTATATTAAATATAGCTAGGCGCATCAGTTTAAACTGTTCTTTCCAAGGTGCCCTACCTTGTATTTGTCAACAATAACTTTATTTGCCACCGCGCTGATCTATCAGCCAAACTTTTTTCATTCCCTCTCAAGCTTCTTTTTTTCTAATCTTGATTCATGTAAATAAAAATTTGTGGTTTGCAATTCTGTTACCTCATAGTCACCTTTTGTGAAGATTACATTTGTTAAAATACACAATTTCCATTCTTAGTAATGGAACACCCCTCTGCTAGCCTTTTGTCATGCTTAAAATTGCCAATGGCTTCCTACTCTTTGTTTTACTGTCTTTTGGTGAATTTCTAATTTGCCATAGTACTTTGCATTGCTTAATTTATTTGGCAGCTCCTTAATGAGAAGTTTTGCCAAAGGCTTTTTTTAAAGGCCAATTAAATTTCAACTGATTCTTAAGTACATGGCTTTCCTGTCACGCTCAAAACATCTTAGCAGACGGACACATGATTTTCTTTTACAGCAGCCACGTGTCTCTATCATATCACATCATTCACATCATCGCATTCTTTCTGTTAGATTTTTCATTTAACACACTAACTTTTCTGTTATCACATGCAGTTTGTCAAATTACCTTTTCATACTTAAAAGCAACATCCCTGCTGAGCTACCAACCAGTTTAAGTGATGGGCTGTACACTGATATCTACAGGTGTACCACAGTTACAAATGTGTGCGACTCCACTTAGCACTGTATAATGACGAGGGGTTAGGGGAGGGAAACAGTGGCACGGGCCAGCCCTTCTGCAAGTCTGTAGTACTGGTGAGTAGATCTTCTCTTGTCCCCTTCCTTAAAGTTGGGGTAATGTTACTCGCACAGACTTCTCCACTCCAGCTACGAGGCCCAGGAAGAGAAGGATTGGTGTTCACCTTCTTTTGTGGGATTCAACAGGTTTTTTGCACTTCCTTAGAATAAGAACAGATGTTTTTCTAAGAACTTTCATCTTTAAACAACATTAGAATATAAGGTGGACG